CTGCCCCTCCCTCCCCTTCCCTCCCCCACTCCTCCCTTGCCCTGCCCTGCCCAGCCCTGCCTTACCCTACCCTATCTTGCCCTGCCCAGCCCTGTCATTGCCTACCCTACCTTGCCCTGCCCTGCTCTGCCCTGCTCTGCCTTACCCTGTCCTGCCCTGTCTTACCCTGTCCTGCCCTGCTTTACACAGTGCTACCCTGCCCTGCCCAGCCCTGCCCCGCCCCGCCCTGTCCCCCCACCACACCCACTTAGCTCACCTCCCTCCTCTTTTCCTCCTCCACTCTCGGGGCTCCCTCTGTATGTCCTTCCCTTCTCGCCTCAGCATCTTCCCCTCTCACTCTGCCCTAGGAGTGTGGGATCCCCAAGCACTTCGGCCTGTTCTACGCCATGGGCACAGCCCTGATGATGGAGGGGCTGCTCAGCGCGTGCTACCACGTCTGCCCCAACTACACCAACTTCCAGTTTGGTAAGTGGGGCAGAACCCAGAGCAGAGACCTGCCCAAGCCCCCACCACGTCCCCCGTGGGGCCCCCAGAACTCAGCCCTGTGGGAAGCGCCAGGGCCCGGGAGCCCATGTGTGCACATGCCAGGCATGGAGGACGTGGCTCCCAGACGCTCTCTCTGCCAGCCTCGTCCTCTGCGAGGCACAGCCAGTGCAAGGGGACACCGGTGTTCAGAAGCAGGCCTGGTCTCAGGACACTCACAGACCGAGATTCTCACCTATGCTGTCTGTCATCAGGAGACCTCAGACTCTGGGTGACAGCCAGTGGGGGGCAGGGACCGTTAGGGGACTAGAGTTCTGGTGCCAGTGTGCCCCGCCTTGCTGGGTGCTGGGACATGGCTCTAGGGCTCTCCGGCTCCACCTGTCGGCATGGGAGCGCTCTGCCAGGCCGTGGTGGACGCTCCTGCAGCCCCTCTACCCCCCAGACACGTCCTTCATGTACATGATCGCCGGGCTCTGCATGCTGAAGCTCTACCAGAAGCGGCACCCCGACATCAACGCCAGCGCCTACAGCGCCTACGCCTGCCTGGCCATTGTCATCTTCTTCTCCGTCCTGGGCGTGGTGAGGGCCTGCCCCGCGGCCTTGCTCGGCTTGCCCTGTGGGAAAAGTGCACATGCGTTTGCACACGTGTGGGCGTGCATGTCCCTCCCCACCTCTGGAAGGAGCAGTCCTGCTCCTTCCCCAAGATGCCTTCCTGGGCCCCCCTGAGAGCCCCAGCCCAGCTGAGCTGCCAGCCCCAGAGAGCGGGCCATGGGTGAGTCCCCTCGACCCTCAACCCTGCCCTCCGTGTCCTCCCGCAGGTCTTTGGCAAAGGGAACACGGCCTTCTGGATCGTCTTCTCCGTCATCCACATCATTGCCACGCTGCTCCTCAGCACGCAGCTCTATTACATGGGCCGCTGGAAGCTGGGTGAGGGCAGGGCTCGGGGGCAGCTGCGAGCCCATGCGTCGGGGGTGGTGGCCTTGGGGACCTGGATACACGGCAGGCACTTGGGCACTGTGCTCTTTCTGGGGGCCCTGGAGGAACCTCTGGATGAGGAGTTAGATTAGGCCTGGTGTTGCTGTGTCCTCCTCGGTCCCTGGCTCCTGTCCGTGGACAGAGGCCTGGGGTGCAGCGAATAAGGGAGCCCCAGCCTTTCAGCGCCATCCCTCTCCCTGCAGACTCGGGGATCTTCCGCCGCATCCTCCACGTGCTCTACACGGACTGCATCCGGCAGTGCAGCGGGCCCCTCTACGTGGTACCTGCCGTGCTCGTGGCCCCTTCCCCGTCTTGTCCCTGCAGTGGGGGTGGGAGGCGTGGCTGCGAGCACGGGCCAGCAGGACAGTGGCCGGGCCCTCTTCTCCCACTCGGCCCTGCTCAGCCCGTCTCTGCTTCCCCCTAGGACCGCATGGTGCTGCTAGTCATGGGCAACATCATCAACTGGTCACTGTGAGTGGCGTCGGCCTGTAGCCCAGCCGGGTGGACAGCTAGGGACTCGGCCGGCACTGGCTGCCTGGGGGGCCGCGGGTGACTTCTCGATGATGGGCATTGGGAAAGGGGCTGAGGAGATCCTGGGCATCGAGGTGTCTAGAATCTTCTGGGTGCCTCTGACCCCCAGCCTGACCTCATAAGCAAAGTGGAGGAGGGGCCGGGAGCCTCGCCTTGCTCTGGACCCTCCCCAGCCCCTCGTCCCTCCGCCAGGGCTGCCTACGGGCTCATCATGCGCCCCAATGATTTCGCCTCCTACCTGCTGGCCATTGGCATCTGCAACCTGCTTCTGTACTTCGCCTTCTACATCATCATGAAGGTGGGCGGGCCTCCTGGGCCTCCTGGGCCTCCTGGGCCTCCTGGGCCTCCTGGCAGCTGCTCTGCTTTGCGGGAGGGAGGTGGGCACGGCCTGCCTGGGGAATCACTGAGAGAAGGAGGGATTTGCTGTCCACATGTCGGACATGGGGAGGTGAGAGCACCTGCATGGACCCCTGGGAGCCAGCCGCATCCTAAAGGCCGTTTACTGAGCCCTTCCGGATTCTGGGGACGGCCGCACAAGGCCTGAAGGCCAGTAGCCTCTCAGGCTGCACTTGGTAAGGCCCCTTCCATGTGGAAGGGGCTGGAGGAGGGAGGTAGGGCTTACTGTGTCTGTGGTGGACATGGGCTTCCGGGGCCACATGCCTCCCAGGGGACCCCTGCACAGCAGGGTGGACACTGGGCCAGGACTCCAGGCGGCTAGATCAGGGACAGGGTGAGACCTCAGGAGGCTTTGGAAAGGATCCATCCTGACACCCTGGGAGGGGACCAGGAAGAGACCAAGGGAGGCGGGAAGCCAGCGGGTGAGGCCCAGCCCTCAAGCTGCCTCCCTCCGGCCCTTCAGCTGCGCAGCGGAGAGAGGATCAAGCTCATCCCTCTGCTCTGCATCGTGTGCACCTCCGTGGTCTGGGGCTTCGCGCTCTTCTTCTTCTTCCAGGGACTCAGCACCTGGCAGGTGAGTCATAGGCTCTCTGCGAGCCAGCCGATGGGCAGTTCTCGCTTCTCTTTTTTTTTTTTTTTTTTGGCCAGAGGGTCTGTGTACTTGCTAGAGAGAGACCAAGAAGGGGAGAGAGAACAGCCTCCCTCCGAGAATCCTCTCACCACTGTCCCTTCTCTTCCACCTCTCTTGTCTCTCGGATTTGGGGCATGCAGGCGTGTGTGCCTGACGTGTTTCTTAAGCTGCTGGGTCTGGGACCTGAACCGTTTGCTTGGTTGGCCATGTGGGAGCTGGCTGTCTTAACCTCAGAGCTAGCCCGCCAGTTCTATTTTTTTTTTAATTTGCTGTATGTATGTGTATGTATGCTAGAGAGAGACAGAGACAGAGAGAGTGAGAAAGCACACCTTGTGGGATGGCCACACTGCAGTCTCTTCTCCATTCTCCCAGGATTTGGGGCAAGCACGCACTTGGGCCCAGCATAATTTTCAAGCTGCCAGGCCTGGGACTCAAACCACGTAGTCAGACATGTGGAATGCAGCCGCTTTAACCTCCGTGCCTCTGCTGACCCAGTTCTCTTATAGAACACCTGTTGAGAACACTGCTGTGGCTCGCACCCCGAGCTGCTGTCCCTGAATCCTCCTAACATTCCACCTCTAGCGTGGTGAGAGCCCCATTTCACTTACGCAGCAGCTGAGCTCGCAGAGGACGAGTGACCGCCCTGAGGGCGCCCAGCCACGGGCACAGCTGGAGTCTGAAGCCGGAAACGGCAGCCCCTCTTCTTTGCCTCGGGGAGGATGGACTGTGTGTCAGGGTGATCAGGACGGGCTGACGTGGTCTGCCGCATGACACTGAGCATCGAGTTCATGCCTTGGTGTTCTCGGTGTGATACAGAAAACGGAGGACTCTGGCAGGGTGGGGCCGGAGGGAAGTGTGGCGCACAGAGGATGGAGAGGTCTCTGAGTTAGGAGGGCCAGGAAAGCCTTCTGGAGGAGGCAGGCCTTGCTCTCGGCCATAAAGGTCCTGGGTGATGGTTGACCATGGTTCGACTCTCTCTCTGTCTCTGTGTCTCTCTCTGGTCAAATTAAAATGAATGAATGAATAAATAAAATTATAATTAAAAAAAATAAAAATTAAATTAATAATTTTTTTTAATTTCAGTAATAGTTTTTTTTTTTAAGAATTTGGCCAGAGAGGGACAGAGTGTGAGAGAGAAAGATAAAGTGAGAAAGCAACAAACAAAATAAAATAATTATTTTTAAAAAACTATATATATGGGGAGCAGCAGTTGGCATAATGGCTATGTCTCTGGATTTCCATGTAGTCGGCCGATTCGAGTCCTGGACGCAGTAGTTTAAACTCATGCTGGGTGTGTATGCGTGCGTGCCCAAGATCCTGAGAAGTGAGTGGAAGAGAAGGGATTGTGATGTGGCCATCCCCCCTGGTGGGTGATTTCTCACTCTGTCTCTCTATCTCTCTCTTTCTGGCGAGTGCGCATGCCCTACAGTAAAAACCTCTCCAAAAAAAATATGTGTGTGCGTGTGTGTCTGTGTGTCTGTGTAAAAGAATGGTTTATTCCATTTTATTTATTATTACTATTTTTTAATTTGACCAGAGAGAGAGAACGGGAAAATGAGAAAACAAGCCTCCAGGTCTGGAACTCAAAGCATGGTCCGCCATGTGAGAGTCCAGTGCCTGTACCACCTCTCCACCCACCAGCCCCCGGGAAAAGATTTGTAGCAGAGGGCCGTTTCCAAGTGTGGGGGCAGGGGATAGTCAGAACAGGGCTGGGAGTAAGGAGTGCCCAGGGGCGAGAACGGGTCTGGGCCTGGCCTTGCCAAGAGTGGGGTCCACAGGCAGCTGTCCCTATTTCTCCCCCAGAAAACCCCCGCGGAGTCGAGAGAACACAACCGAGACTGCATCCTCCTGGACTTCTTTGATGACCACGACATCTGGCACTTCCTGTCGTCCATTGCCATGTTCGGGTCCTTCCTGGTACGCAAGCAGGAGGGTGGGGCGGGGGCAGAGCCTGCTCCCCCAGTGGCTGACCCAGCGTCTCCTCCAGGTGTTGCTGACCCTGGACGACGACCTGGACACCGTGCAGCGGGACAAGATCTATGTCTTCTAGCCGGAGCCGGCCCTGTGCTTTATTTACTTCAGGGAGCCCTGAGCTCCTCCGTGTCCTGCAGGGTACCTCTGCAGTGCCAGGGGTGTGAGTCCCAGCCCCGCTGCCCAGCACTGGATGGCGGTGGGATGGCACAGCCCAGGGCAGGCCCAGGCAGTCTTCAGGGGCACCGAGCTATGCAGTTGCCTCTGCCGGGGAGAAGGCCTGCTCCCCTGGGACCCAGACATTGGCCAAATTGCTGCTTTCTTCTCAGTGTTGGGGCCCTCCACGGGCCCCCATCCATTGACTCCCCATTTGTCCCTCTGCAGGAGGAAAGAGGGAAGGCCATGCTCTCCTCATTTCACGCCTTGCGACTGTCCGTCCTTCCCCTGCCTCAGCCTGGAGCCCAAAGCCCTTTCCTCCTCACTGACTCCTTCTCCAGGGCCTAGTCTGGGGCCTGACTCTGGGGCTGTGCCTGGCTGCCATCACTGCCCACCCTGGGCAGCCAAGATGGATGGGGTGGAGGACTGCGGGGCTGGCCAGCTGGTGCCAGGATTTTGGTGCTAAGGCCTGCGAGGCCCAGGGCAGGACCCTCCTCCTTCTGACTGTGTTTGGGGCAGGCTCTTTACAAGGAGGGTCAGCCCAATTTGAGACCCGCCTTCTAATCTCAGGGGCTGAATTCAGAGGTCCCCTCCTCATCTATCAGCCCCCAGATGCCTGATGCCAACCCCCGGATCAGAGGGAGAAGCGACTCACCCCTTTCCGTCCTTCCTTTGTAAGCCCTCAGTCCTGCCAAGCCCCAGCCTGGGGCCTCTCAGTGCCATTGACACTGCCCAAGAATGTCAGGGGGCACAGGAGGGGTAGCACACAGAACCCACCCGTCCTGCCTCCTCCACAGCCATGGCTGCCCCGTGCCTAGCTTCTAGAGAGGCTGAAGGAGGGGACACATCATTTCCCTCTGTGTCCCCATTTCCAGCGTCACTCTAGGACCGGGGGCTGGCTTCCGAGTTCCGTCCAAGTCTCAGCCAAGCTCAGTGTTCGTCACACACAGACCTCGGAAACCGTGGCGTTTACAGAGTTGGCCCCAGCTCTGGGCCCCCTCGCCGCCCTGGTCCTTGACTCCCTTCACCCCCATGGACCATTCCAGATGCCAAGGATGGGGGAGGTGGGGTCGGGGTCTGCCTCGGGGATGGGAATGTGTTTTATTCTCCCAAACTTGTTTTTATTGCTCTCCTCCGGCAGGGGAGAGGAGGCAGGTCTGGATCTTTTTTTCAGAACTCGCGTTTTATGCCCTTCCATGCTACGGTTGCATTTCTGTTTTCTACGAATGAGTCCGCGTTCAATAAAGAAACAGCCAGATGCAGTGCTTGGGCCCCTGTTTGCTTCCCCTTTCTGGACAGCAGTATGGAGAAAAGGGGGTAGGGCGGGCCCTCCAGTTCCCACTTGGTCTGGCAGACCTCTGTCTTTGCCAGCACCTTGCCCCCGCCCCCCTCCAGTTTTCCCGAGCAGCAACATTAATTTAGTATACTTTTTTTTTTTTTGGAGAGGTTTTCGCTATAGGGCACATGCGCTCACCAGACAGACAGAGAGAGACATAGAGACAGAAAGCGAGAAATCACCCCCCAGGGGGGATGGTCACGCCGCAATCCCTTCTCCTCCATTCTCCTCTCGGGATCTTGGGCACGCACGCACACGCGCCCGGTGTGAGTTTTAAGCCACCAGGTCCGGGACACGAACCGCGGTCAACTACGTGGGAGTCCAGCGACAGCCATTACGCTAACTGCTGGTTCCCTATACTTTTTTTTAAAGAGATTTTTGCTATAGGGCATGTGTGCTTGCCAGAGAGACAGAAAGCACCCCCCAGGGTGAGTGGCCACACTGCAATCCCTCCTCCTCCCGGAATCTTGGCCATATGCACATATGTGCCTGGCCTGAGTTTGAAGCTGCTGGGGAGGGGGGCACCTGAACCGTGGTCGACCAGGTGGCAGTGCAGTGACATGGCCATTACTACATTTGCTGGTCCCAGTTCAGTGAACTTTTACCAGGAGCCTGCTTGCTCTGCACCAGGCACTTTGCTGGGCAAAGAAACCAGTTTTAGCAAGGCCTTCTCCTCCCCCCTCCTGCCGGTCCCACCCACTCTCCACTTCCAGAGCACCTCCCAGCGAGCCGCGAGCCTCTGCGGGCTCAGGGCTGCGAACCACCTCCCTGGACGTGAGCCTGCGTGAGGCCCGCTGATGCTCCAGGAACACGGGGGGGCGGGGGGGGCGGCTATGGATGCGGGCAGGCTCTATGGGAAGGGAGTTCCCTGGAAGGTTGGTTCCGAACACAGCACGCTAAGGAGGACATGACTGGGGGCTCGAGAGTTCCTTGAATTCGGGACACAGCAGGGACGGAGTTTGCTCTGATTTTCCCGGCAGGTGCCAATAGGGGGCACCTGAGCTCTGCATACCCCTGAGCTCCGCAGTCAGCGAGGCTGGCTGTGAGGGGCGGAGCTTCTGAGATGGCAACTTGGTGTCTCCCCAAATACGGAGCCTACGTGGAGTCACTAGGGGACTGGGGTGGAGAACGGAGCCGGGCAGCAGGGAGGGGGGTCAAGGACCGAGCTGGAGGAGGAGGCTAACATCACTCTCCCAGTCAGTGCCCCATCCTGTCTGCCCGAGTCCAGACTGGAGACCTCATTCCCTCCTGTGAGCCTGAGGAACCCCTGTAAGTGTATTGGTCGGGAAGCTGGGCCCCAGCATGACGGTAGCAGTGGTGTCTTTCAGGCGGACTCCCAGGTGGTGGCCAGGACCCTGCTGGGGCAGTCAGCCTGCAGGGATCCCTAAGCTCCAGACAAGGAGCTGGTTCTGGCTGGAGTAGAAGGGGGTCCTTAGATCTCATACCTCTTTCACGCTGGGTGGCCCAGGCTCAGGTGGCTTGGCTGGTGTAGAGACACTGGTGTTGGCAACAGTTGGGGTGAGAAGGAGGCCCCCTGTTTTCAGCCGCAGTCACACCCCTTGCCTGGCTAGGCCAGGGCGTTTTTTCTAGGACATCAGGGAGGTGAAGGGCGTGTGCCCCTGGGGGAGCCCCTGGGGAGGCAAGGGACATTAGAGAGCTCAGGTGCTAGAGCTGGCTGGGGGCTGGGTTAGGGGCTGCTCTGCATTCTGAGAGTGGGAAGCCCACCCCCCACACACACCCCAGGGTAGGCAGAGGGCTGCAGGGTGGGGACTGCTGAGGAGGAGCTTTGGAGTGACCTGGGGCCCTCGGCTTTTCCCAGAAGGCCTTGCTGTTTCCCCTCTGGCTCCCATGGAAAGGGTGGTGGCGAGGCGGGCAGGTCAGTGCGGGAGGGCCGCTCTGCATGTCCCTAGAACGCGAGCCCTTGTGCCTGCTCAGATCAGATGTGCTCACTCCTGTGTGCTGCGTGTCTAGTTGTGCGGAGAGCGGGCACAGCAGTCCTTTGGGCCCCAGGCTGTGCATTCTCTGGCCCCTGTGGGTGAGAGCGGGCACAGCAGTCCTGCGGGGCCCCAGGCTGTGCACTCTGGGTGTGGGTGAGAGCGGGCACAGCAGTCCTGAGGGCCCCGGGCTGTGCACTCTGGTCTGTGGGTGAGAGCGGGCACAGCAGTCCTGAGGGCCCCGGGCTGTGCACTCTGGTCTGTGGGTGAGAGCGGGCACAGCAGTCCTGAGGGCCCCGGGCTGTGCACTCTGGTCTGTGGGTGAGAGCGGGCACAGCAGTCCTGAGGGCCCCGGGCTG